ATTGGTGCAAAAAAAAAATTTCACAGTGTACGTTTGAGTAAGCGTGTATGTGGGGAGAGCACACTGTATCGGGTTCATGCAGTCGGGGGAAGAAAGCACACGTTCCTGTGTGATTGATCACTGAATAGCCGCCGGTGTGTGTGTGAGTGTGTGTGTGTGTGTGTGTGTGTGTGTTGTGTGTGTGTTAGTGTGTGCGTGCGTGTGTGTGCGCGCGCGCTTGGGGGGAAATGCCCGTGTCTCGAACGCAGCCGCTGCGTGATCGTGTAGAGCCCGACCGGATTGTGATGCAACTCTTGTTCTGCGGCGTAGCAGGCCTCAGCCAGCCGGAGCCGCCCTGCCCTGCTGAAAGTCACGCTACACCATTATTTTGTTGTTGTTGTTGTTTCCGCTTTTCATGAATTAGTCGTAGGCGTGGTAAAACCTCGGCCCGAAACTAAGACGGTCTTTTTGCAATCACGCGCACTGCGTATTCCACGCGCGTGTCGGCCTCGGCAAGTCGGCTCCATTTTCTTTACAATTTCCTTTCATCTGCTGCCGGGGGAGGGGGCAGCACAAACAAGGCTGTGATTACGTGGCTTACCAAATTTCATAGTCTCTCTAGTGCAGAAAAGAGGGGAGCTCTCCTCGGCGGCGGTGGAGGCGGCGGCCCAGAGCGTCGCCTTCTTCGCGTCGGCGGCGTGCTCGCGGACAGCGCAGCAGGCCGAGTTCGAGAGTCGTTTTCGTCCCCCTGTCTCTCTCGCACTCATGGGGCGTCCCGTATAGATAGGTGAGAGAGAGAGAGAGAGAGAGAGAGAGAGAGAGAGAGAGAGAGAGAGAGAGAGAGAGAGAGAGAGAGAGTCCGTGTGCTGCCACAGCCGCCTTTGTAGTCTGGAGTCCTGCTTCTCGCGGACCTTGTGCTGCCCGCGGTGCGCTATCCGTTCCCCCACGCCGCGCCACCGCCTCGGACGTCGCCGTCGTCGTCGCCGAGTACGAGGAGAAAGAGGTGGAGGATGCCCCCGAGCCGCAGACCGATCCCGAGAGTCGTTTTCGCCGCTCTGTCTCTCTCGCAGCTACACGGGTCGCCCCATGAGTGCGAGAGAGACAGAGCGACGAAAACGACTCTCGGAATCGGTCTGCCGGCCGCGGAGAGGGAAGAACGCTGACGCGACGCGATCGAGACCTTATAGCTTGATGGATGGCCGAGGCGCCACGTCCACGCGGGGCTCGCGGTACAGGATGCCGATAGTATGCAATGCACACACACACACACACACACACACACACACATACATACACGGGAAGGAATATGGGCAGAGACTGCCCGGCGGGGTGGGTGGCGGTGGCGGCGGCGGCCGGGTTGACTGCTATATGCGATGCGCAATTTTTCATAAAGTGTGTGTCCTCGGTCCTCCCGGCGGTGGCCGGCGGTGCCGGTGGCCGCGAGCGGCATAGGGCCCGCATCCAGAGCTGGAGCGATGCCCACACTGTAAAGGGAAAAGAAAGAAACCGCTCTGTTTGGAAAGGAGTCAGGGTTCGACGGAATAGGTTGAAAACGGGGGAAAGTTTCGCGCTGTGACTGTAGACTCTTTTGCCCTCGGGAATTATCGCCATGTGTGTCCACAACAAAATCCTACACTGCAATTAGGTTCAGCATCCAGCCCCTGGTTCAACCTCTACCGTGGTTCTTAGTGCACCGGTCTCTACGGCAAGCCAGCACGCGGTCCGACAAAACGCACACCGCACCAGTCCTTTTTCTCGTCATAATCCAGTGGAGAGAACGTCAGAAAGTGCGCGACCAAGTCAGTGCCACGGTGGTGCCACCCCGTGGTGGGTTGCATTCCGGGGCCGGCATCGCCCCGACCGGTATGTCTCTGGCCGGCATATCGAGCTCGCATGGCCGTGGCCCGATGGCCGGATGGCGACCCGCGCAACCCGGAGTGTGTTGGGCATACAGGACATGAGCCCCGTCCCGTTTGAGCCCCGTTGTTCTGAGCCCGGGCTTGAGCCCCAGCCTGAGCCCGGGTTGAGCCCCAACTTGAGCCCCGACCCAAGCCCCAATATCCAGAGCCCGGATTGAGCCCCGACCTGAGCCCCGTTTGAGCCCCATTTGAGCCCGGTTTGAGCCCCGTTAGAGCCCCGAGGCCGAAAATAAGGCAGGGTCGACATGAGCCCCGTCCCGATCGAGCCCCGATGACTTGAGCCCCGGCAGAGCCCCGGCCGAGCCCGACTCGAGCCCCGACTTGAGCCCCGACTGAGCCCCGATGGCCAGAGCCCCAACCTGAGCCCGTTTTGAGCCCCGACCTGAGCCCCGTTTGAGCCCCATTTGAGCCCCGCGCCAAAAAGTTGCAATATCTTCACTAAAAAAGTTCAAAAATGGAAGTTTTTTGGCGTGGGGCTCAAGTGGGGCTCAAACGGGGCTCAGGTCGGGGCTCAATCCGGGCTCTGGATATTGGGGCTTTGGTCGGGGCTCAAGTCGGGGCTCAAATGGGGCTCAAGTTGGGGCTCAGGTCGGGGCTCAGACCATCGGGGCTCAAACGGGACGGGGCTCATGTCCTGTATGCCGTGTGTTGCGTCTCTCTCGCACTCATGGCATGCGCCGTGTGGGTGCGAGAGAGACAGAGCGAGGGCAGCCTGGCGCCTGCCAACGGCAGGGTCGGCCGACCCGCGGTGCAGCGCTGGAAACGGGTTGCCTACCCGCCAGGCGATCTCCACCAGTTGGTTGGTTCAGAGAGTCGATTTCGTCGCTCTGTCTCTCTCGCACCTCTACCGGACGCCCCATGAGTGCGAGAGAGACAGAGCGACGAAAACGACTCTCGGAATGAGTCTACAGTGGTGTGGCCGTGCCACTGGCCGTGCGCGGCCAGCGTAAGTCTGACGTGTGGCCCCCATGGCCTCCATCGCCTCCACGCGGCACGGCCCGGGTCCCCGCGGCCCGCACGGCCCCGCACGGCCCCGCTGCATGCTGTTAGCCGCCCTAACTTGATGTATAATGCATCGCCTGGTAAATATAATCAACATCGCTGTGCTGCCCCAAGCAGGGCGAGGCTGGGCCGCTGGGCCCCGCGCGCGGTCCCCGGCGACCCTTCGGGGCGCACCCCGCCACGCCCCGCCCCACCACGCCCCGCCCCGCCCCGCCCCGCCGGCCAGGCACTCTTACAGCCGCGGCCCCGCCCACGCGACTACAAGCAGGCCACTTCTTTACCACGAGACAGCCGCGGCCGCGAGGCGCTCTCTCTCTCTCTCTCTCTCTCTCTCTCTCTCTCTCTCTCTCTCTCTCTCTCTCTCTCTCTCTCTCTCTCTCTCTCTCTCTCTCTCTCTCTCTCTTCTCTCTCTCTCTCTCTCTCTCTCTCTCTCCCTCTCTCTCTCTCTCTCTCTCTCTCTCCAACGCTAATGGCTCCGTAAAGCAGTCACCTCCAAGCCCGGCGCGACGTGGAAACGGTGGATGTTAGGTGCGTCCGACTGTAGCGAGCGGTCAGGCGCGCGGGCGGCACGCGACAAAGCTTGCAGCAAGTATTTGCAGTTGGTATGGTCGGACGCACCTAACCTTTTCATGGAATCGGACTGAAGTGCATGGTGCGCGGTTTGCGGCCGGCCTGATCGACCCTCCCATTGGAATCCTCGCTAATTGTGACTGCGGGCGCTGCGCGGTCTTCAGCCTCATTCCGAGAGTCGTTTCCGTCGCTCTGTCTCTCTCGCACCTACGCGGGACGCCCTGTGAGTGCGAGAGAGACGGAGCGACGAAAACGACTCTCAGTCTGCTGTCGGTCCCCGCCCACCCGGCCGGCCCGGCCGCACGCTCCGGGGCAGCCAGGCCCATTCCGAGAACAGCGCTCCGTCGCTCTGTCTCTCTCGCCCTCACGGGCCGTGCCGCAAGGGGTGCGAGAGAGACAGAGCGACGACAGCCGGCTGCGAGGCTCGAAGAATAAACCAAGGAGTGCGGAATCCGGCGAGACAGGGAGCCGAGCCGCCCCCATTCAGCAGGCGGTTGCGCGCTGTTGTTGTTGTTTGAGGCTCTCCGTGGAACGAGTTGACATGCTTCTCATTCTGCGTTGCTTGCCTGCCAAAGTGAATCAGTCCCTTCGCCTCGCTCCCGTTCCCGCTCGCCTGCAGTGCTCCCGGGGCGGTACCGAAGGCCGCGCGGCGCTTGCGGGCGCTGCGGACTGACTCCGAGAGTCGTCGCTCTGTCTCTCTCGCACCTATGCGGGATGCCCTGTGAGTGCGAGGGAGACAGAGCGACGAAAGCGACTCTCGGAATCAGTCTGCCGGCGGACTACCTCTCGGAGTGTGTAGAGGCAGAGATGACAAGTATGGCATTACAGCCCCGCCGGGCCACGACTATTAGCTCATTAAATTATCCCTGGGGACCCTGCTGTGGTTCCCCGTGGCTACGGCGCCCGTGGGTTGGCCACCCTAGAGTCCTGGAACCAGGACGCGAGGCCACCCTACCCTTCCCTGCACTGGAGGCGCCCGTGTGGCCAGCCAGAGCCTGGACCAGACGCGAGGCACCCTACCCTTCCCTGCCTGGAGGCGCCCGTGTTGCCACCTAGAGTCCTGGAACCAGGACGCGAGGCCACCCTACCCTTCCCTGCACTGGAGGCGCCCGTGGGTTGGCCACCCTAGAGTCCTGGAACCAGGACGCGAGGCCACCCTACCCTTCCCTGCACTGGAGGCGGGCGTCGCCGGGGCCGCTCGGGCGCGCATTCCTGCTAGTGCCATGCCACGCCATGCAATGCTATGCCGTGTCGTGCCGTGCCATGCCCAGCGCAGCGAAGCGTCGAGCTCCATTTCATCCATTTTCCATCACCTTTTCCAAGCGACTGCACTCCACTGCCCCCGTCGCTGTCTGCGCGGCCCGGGCAAGGGCAGGCCCGGTCGCCTCCAGCCCTCCTTTTTGCGTTAATTCTCTCTCTCTCTCTCTCTCTCTCTCTCTCTCTCTCTCTCTCTCTCTCTCTCTCCTTTTTTTCTGTCTGCAGGACAATTATAATAATTCTGGCCTTTGTTTGCGTTTTTTCTTGTTGCAGAGCTGAAAGTGTCGACGCTGCCTCCTACCACGACCACGACCACGACGACCACCACCACGACGACGACTACCACCACCCCGCGGCCCACGACCACGAGTAAGTGCTCCCTCTTGAGTTTCTCGCCGTTTCCCGCCTCGCAGTGCGCGTCCGGAGGTATTGACGTTGAATTGTGTGTCGCACAGCGACGCTGCGGCCGCGGACGACTCCGGGCAGCAACAACTGGCCGCCTCTCCGGTCGACGCGTGAGTATCGCAGTGTACATTTCCGGCACAGTTGTACAGTTAGTCCACGCGAGCGCCGTTTTCCCGGGCCTCTTTTTTTTTCAATTCCCAATGTCAGTATTTGCGACCTAATGAAATTTTATTTTTTCATCGCCAACTTCCCGGTTGCTTGCTTTCTCGCGGCGTTATTTGCGATCCAATCGGCTTTTTGTTTCTTGCCGAGTGTTTCGCGCGGCTTTTATTGCGGTCGTCTTGCTCTGCTTGGAAAACTGCCGGCGAAACCTGGAAAACCATCGCAGACCTCCAGCCTAGGGGCCAGAGTTTGGACTGTGTATCCCGATGTATCCGGTCTTTAAAATAAATTGCAAAACCTCGAAAATGCGTTCCGTAGGTTATTGAGAAATTTCCGGCTGCTTCTTGTTTTTAAAAGAATATTCTTTTCTACTGCTCCTGTCGGGATACTTTTTCGAAAACAGAAGTTTTCTAATTTTCCGAACTCCAGAGGCAATTTTTTTCCTTACAAATTCTTTGGGAATTTCAACTTTATTTGTTTTGTTTTTTCTGTATTCAACACGATTTTTTTTTCTCAAATGTTTCTTTGGCCTGTTAGCGCTTTCAAACGCCCCTTTCTGTGTTGCAGCGCCGCTGGAGAACAACATGATGCGTTCGTCGGAGAAGGACCTGGACAACGCCATCCGGTCCGGGGCGAGCCAGCGGTCGGGAGCGCGGTCCGCGGCGGCGGGCTCGGACCAGCGCCGCAGCACCCTGCTCGAGGTGGTGTTCGACTTCCTGCTGGTGCTGCTGCTGTTCCTCGTCCGGTGACGAGGCGGTTAACTCTCCTCGACCAGTGCCTCAACGGTGTTCTCGACGGCGGCCTCGACGGCGGCCTCGACGGCGGCCTCGACGGCGGCCTCGACGGCGGCCTCGACGGCGGCCTCGACGGCGGCCTGACGGCCCTCGACGGCGGCCTCGACGGCGGCCTCGACGGCGGCCTCGACGGCGGCCTCGACGGCGGCCTCGACGGCGGCCTCGACGGCGGCCTCGACGGCGGCCTCGACGGCGGCCTCGACGGCGGCCTCGACGGCGGCCTCGACGGCGGCCTCGACGGCGGCCTCGACGGCGTCCTGGGCTGCGGACTTTACTGGACGTATATCAAGTGCGGGAAACGCTCGGCGCGCGCTATCTCTGCCGAGCGGAGAGCGTGCGCGTGTGTGAGGTGTGTGTGAGAGAGACAGCCAAAAGCAGTGGCCGTCGAACAGAGTCGTGTGAGTGAGATGGATACTTCCGCCGGGCGATGTGATATTTATTGGAATATTTTGTGACTGATGGCCCAGACTGAACAGCAGGGCCCGGCGCGGCGACGCTGCAGGGGACGCCTCCTTCGACTTGTGTACAGTGCACACTCCAGCTCACATTCCGTCAATCCAAAGTTGGACAGATTTTCGTTTCTGGAGTGCACGAGGCATTCCCCTGCTCAATCATTTAAACCTTTTTGTTTCCTGATTCCCGCCTCAAGAAGTGCGTCCCCTGGGCGAGCTTGGGCGGGGGAAGGCCTCTTACCGCCATCAGCGTTTATCAGAGAATCGCCATTTCCAACTGTCGCCGCGGAGGGCGCTGTCGTCGCTCGTCACTGCATTGATCCAGCGGACAGTCAGCGGGCTATCCTTCCTGTCAAATTGTGATGAAAAGGAGTGAGACTCCTTGCTCTTGTTTTTGACCGCCATATTTCTTTTGTTGTTGTTTTCCGCTTTCGCGCGCCGCGTTTGTCGTGTAGAACAAACTGCTGCACTTAAGCTGAGTGCGCCGCCACGCCCCGCCACCTTATAGGCCAGTCGAGAGAGGGAGAGGGATGGACGAATGTTGTGGAGAGTTCCGTGCAGGTGCAAGGGGTGGCCACGCCGACAATATTCTCAAAAAAACTCGCCGTGAAAAACAAAAAAAGTAACAGTACTTATTCTTGATGTATTCCCGTCCTCTTTTAACATGAAAGGTGAAACATTTTCCTTACGCATCCTGATTATTAGGTTTTTCTTTCCATGTGCGAAATTTGTTGAAAGTTGGCCATTTCTTGTAGTACTTGAACCAAAGAGAGGCTTTTGTACCGTAGAATCGCCACCTCGGTGGCAAATCGACTGATTATACGGATGGAGGCTGAAGTGATCGTGGCAGAGGCACAGGCCGTGCCAAAGGGAACTCTGGTCCTGGTTGCCCTGCTTACCGTCACTTCATTTCTTTTCTAGTCTGCGTCCGAGCCGGGCCGTAGAGCGTTCGTGTGACACACTTGCCCACTGTTAAAAATAATCCTGGAAATTCTCGGAGAATTCGTTTAAAAAATAATTGACTCCGATCTTCGGAAAATTCCGCAGAGGTTTCTATGTTTCTGTTTTGAATGAGTTCCCAGCAGGTATAGTACAAAAATCGTTTTGAAACTCGAAGCTTCTGCAAGGAGCTTCGGATTTTAGGGATGTTCCAATTTATTTTTAACAGTGCATCTCTGAGAGTCGCATCGGGCAAGCAGATCGTCGTGAAGGGATCGGACCACATATCGAATTGAGTTGACATATCCAGCTCGCCATGTTGGTCGCGGCGAGAGCGCCAATCCTGTGTTAATTCAAATCAATTATCTCTGTAAATATTGTAAATACGAGCTGTAAATATTTGTCAATGGTATGTTGTGCTACGTCGTACTGAAATATGGATGTATCAAAAATGCTAGAAGCGTCTTATTTTAAAACCATTCCGGAGCGTTGTTTTATTAATGTCATGGCGTGTGTTACTATTATTTCTTCTGATAAGACGTGTACAAAGTACTGTGTAAAGTAATGTTATATTTTGCAAATTTGTTAAATACCTGCTTTATGTCCATTACGTAAGAGTAAGCAATACGTTCATTTCACACTTATAGCTAAAGAAAACTAATTAAAGGTCTAAGCGATAATAAATCAGTAACTATATTCAACAGTCCCGATATTGTTAAGTGAAAGTTGGACGTGGCGTTCATTTCAATTGTTTTTGTTCTTTGTTTCACATTTGTTTTTGTTCTTTGTTTCACATTTGTTTTTGTTACTTTTATTTGTGTTACATGATTTTTGTCGACGCCAGGTCCCTCTGCTCAAAGTGCGATTTATCAAGGAACGAATTAAAAAAAGATGAATTAGAAATGCGCATAATTTTTTCCATTGCAATCATCTTTCTTCATCTCTATCACCTCGTCGCTACAAAAGGGGGAGGAGAGAGGGGGAAAAAGAGAGAGAGAGAGGCGCCGAAACAAGAAGAGCAGGAACACAACCGTGTCTTCTGTTTCAATTTTTTTGTCATTCTTTGGACGCGTGCATTATGTTGTTTTTAGTGATCGAAGCATCGAAGCTCTCGACATTGACTTGCCAATGAGCTGGACGGACTGCTCGGGCAGCCGAGGCACAGCCGAGGCAGGCAGCCAGGGCTGGCAGCCAGCGGTCCATTGACAGGAAGCGGGAGAAACAAATGAGATTGGACGAGACCCGGAGACAAACGCGCCTTGAGAGTTGGCGAGGTCTGTCAAATGGAAAAAGGGGGGGGGCGTCGGGGAAGGGGCCCGGGGGCCTACCTAGTATGCAAATGACCTCGTTATTGCGAATGCAGTCTGTGCCTGTGCCCCTATTGAGCGGGCCCTGTTCGTCCTAATGCTCTCATTTCCGATTTCCTTTGCGCATCCTAAGCTACAAGCTTTCCGAACCTCTTCACTCCGTATACAAATCGCCGTCTCTGATTTGCAGTGGCGAGGCCCGGGATCTTATTTGAAACGCCCGGGCCTAAAAAAAGGAACGAGGAAATGGGGATTCCTTTCCGGTCGACGGAACGAAGTGGGCATTTGGTTCGAATTCCAGGAGGCGCTTACTCGCAAGATCGTCCTATTGGCAGTCAGTGGACACCTGTAGTCAGGCCTTGTACAAGCGGCGTGGTGATCAACCAGCTGCCTGCTGACAAAATCCCCCCGTTTTTTTCTGGGCGTCCCAACAAGCCTGCGAGCCGAACGCGGTGGGTCCTTTCGACAGCATCCAGAAGGCTGACTCCGAACATCTCTCTGTCTCTCTCGCTCCAACATGGCAAGCTCCGTGCGTGCGAGAGAGACAGCGTGCTTTTCGGAATCAGCCCACAGGGCAGGTGCGTGAATAAATCCACGTCGGGCTTCGACGGCCTGCCCCTGTCCTGCCTCACCGTGCTGCCTGCCTGCACCGCGGCGCGCCGCCCTGGCCCAGCTGGCAGCCCGCAAGAGTTGGAAACAATGCGTCTTTGTTGGACCGGCCACGCCCCAGCCTCTTCTTGTGCCTTGCCGAAGTTTTAATTGAAATTCTCGGTGCGAGATGCGTGTGGCGTCGGGGCGTGTGAGTGGTCAAAGTGGCAGCGGCACCGACCTTCGACTCTGCGGACTCAAGTTCAAATCCCGACACTTCCAGCCTGTTGTGTGTCTTTCTTTTTCGATTTTCTTGTTTTTTTTCCGACACACCATGCTAAGGAATACACTATACGCCGACTTTGTTCCACATGAAGCCGAGAGCGTAAAGGCGTCTTCTGTCGACTGTAGGGACCGGCGTCCGAATCCCTGCTTCCCTCCGTTTTGGGTCGTGCAGCCGCTAGTAGGTGTTAGCTAATGAGGTCCCGAGTGATTCCGAGACTTAAAGTTGTCACCCCGACGCCGCCGTCGCCGCCGTCGGCGCCGTGGGCCACCCGCCCTACACCGCCCGCATCCACACGCCCTAAAACGCTTCGCTCCTCCAACCTGCCAGTGTAGTGGTAGTGTTGGCTGCGCGGACGCCGCCGGAGCTCACGGCCGCGCGGCCGCACGACCGGAGGGGGGCATGTCGGCACGAGCAAACGCGAGAAACCGCGAAAATTAGCAGACGCCAAACTTTTTACTCCGGGGTGAGCAGCCAGAAGGGGCCACAGGCCACTGTGTGTGTGTGTGTGTGTGTGTGAGTGTGTGTGTGTGTGTGTGTGTGTGTGTGCCTCACATTCCCTTCACTGTTATTCAAGGAACGTGACGTCACGTTCCTTTGAATGTGAAAACTGTCACGTTCCTTTAAACGTGACAAGTCACGCTCAAAGGAACGTGACAGGCTTGGTTCATTTGTCATATTAATTTAAGCGTGACACTAGCCAGCTGGAAAGCAGTCACGTTTCTTTCAACGAGACAAATGCAATGCTCATTTTGACGAGACAATTGTAATCAAATTGGGCGGCAAAGGCTAGACTCATCAGAGAAACCGTTCACGAGAACAGCAGTCTTCATGGCTTACATAAAAACTGAGCGGTGAAACTTACCACCAGCATGTTGGTAAGTTCAAATCATTTCCGCCCAACTCCGCTCTCACATGGACTGGTTTCAAATTTTAGTTCAAAGCCACTTCATACCCAGTCTTTCATTTCAAATGTACTAACCTTACTAGGTACTCTGGGCAGCCCCTCTGAATCAATTTTTGGACAGGGTGACTGCTTCTGATGGTATCCAATGTTGAAAGCAAACCAAAACATTGCTTTCTGTAGTGGCAGACACATTATGAAGGTGACTTGGTGTTCATAAACTTGTATGATTTTCACAGTATTCCAAGCAACAGGCGCTCCACTGGGTATTCAAGAATTGACACACGAAAAGTCTCCAACGCACAGATCGTTCTCGAAGAGCCGTCGTGACACAGTACAAGAAAAAATATAATTAAATTGCGTCGAAGAGCTGATAACAAGACAGGCAAGCGACCATTTTAAAACTGCAAATACCGTGAGGGAAACAAAAGAAGCTCAAAAAGCGCCTGCAGTCGCTATTGGCAGTCGGTTTGACTATGGGCAGTCGCAGTCGTGGCGTGGCGTCGCGTGGTGGAGACAAAATGGCCACACA